GTATCTAGGATGGGCTCATCCCCCCCTCTACTGGGTCCAACAGACCCACTCCTCTTGCTCGGCCCTCCTCCACCTGGCCTCCTCACCCTCATGCCCCTTCCGATGACACCTGGCTCACCTCTGCAATCAGCCCTGGGGAAGTCTACAGCAGGAGCCAGCAGCTCCGACGATGGCGGCCTCGGTCTGGTGATAAGCACAACGGTCCTAAGGACCACGACATAAAGATGGGACAGCCCAAGCAAAGATAGTCAGGGTGGCATGGAGGAGAGCGTGGCAAAGATCAAAGGCACGGGAGACAGCATTTGGAGAGTGTGGATGGTTTCGCCCTGCTCATGCTTGTTGGTCAAAGACCACAGAGTCTCTGAGAAGGATCAAAATCCAAGTGATTTGTCAGTGTGAGGAAACAGGTGGTGGGGACAAGAAAGCTGGTCTTGTCCAGTCCCTGGGAATGTCTCACCTGAAGCTCTCAGAGTGTGCAGAGCTCTATCGTAGGGTAGATCACACAGAATGGGCAGTGGAGACAGGTGAAATCAGCCTTAAGAGAGCAGGGTAAGCCTGGCCCTGGTGGCACACGCCCTTAATCCCAGCACTCAGGAAGCAGAGGTAATCAGATCTCTGTGAGTTTAAGGCCAGCCTGGTCTACAAAGTGAGTTCCAGGACAGCCAGGGCTACACAGAGAAACCCTGTCTCTAAAAATCAAAGAGAGATGAGACAGAGATAGATACACACACACACACACACACACACAAAGGCAGATAGAGACAGACAGACAGACAGACAGACAGAGAGAGAGAGAGAGACAGGAAGACCAGGAAAGGTAAAGCCAGATGGAATGGCTGACTTTGGTTTTGCCATAAATTCTGACCTTATCCCAGGAAGCTAAGACTCTGTAACAGAATGGCTCTTCGGATTTTTGCCCAGGGGAGCATCTTACTGGATTTGGCATCCCATTCTCTTGCTAAGCTTTACTCTTCACCCCAGGCACCCAAATCACTACTACCATCCCATGCTCTGAGGAGCTACACAGCCCACCTAGGAAGTCTATGGGGCTGAGGGTCAGCACCATCGATGGGGGAGGAGGGGTGTTGCAATCATTCTACATCTGAGTTACTGCTAGACCTGAAATGACTCTGGACTTCCCTTACCATCAAGGTAGAAGAAGGAAAACAGACATGCTTCAGGGCCAGAATGGGCCAAGGGGATCTAGTTCCTGTGGCCAGTGGCTAGCTCAGACACCACCAACTTCTACCTTTCTTTCTCTTGAGAGGCCCCAGGTATTACACTGAAGGCTGATGAGGTAGTCCCCTTACCGCTCACGTGACAATAAGAACCAGGTGTCCTTCTCAGCACTTTCCATGTTTCAGCTTCAGAAAGTTCTGAATCCCATTTTACAAAGGGAAAAATGGGGCAGAAAGAGGCTGTATAATTAGCCTAATGTTCTTACAGCTCTAAATGCCTGGGCTAGTTATTAAACCCTCCTAAGTCTTCACCCCCAGTCATCACCCTGTACTGTTCCAAAGGCTGGCTACAAGCTCCTCTGAGGTACTACAATTTCCAAGGCGCTGTCTCTAGATACTGAGGTGGCATCTGGAGTAAGAAGAAGATTCATGGAAATAGATGCATACTTCTCACTCACTGGGCCATCTACCAAGCTCCGAACTAAGTGTTAGACATAACACAGGCTCCTAGACTATTTCTCAGACCACAGTCTGGCAGGAGCCACACATAAGTACTCCAAGGTCAAAGCAGAGCCTCCCAGGACTATGGCAGCAGCTACTCTTCAGAGCCTCAGGTCATGAGCCATTTAAAGACACTTTGCCAGGGCACACATTACCCAGTTACCTTCCTAGCTGCCAATCCACCCTGGTACGGAAATCTGAGACAGCTGAGCCCTGATCTGGAAATGCCAGCCAAGAGCAGCGGCCTGTGTACAGGATGTCCAGAGGGGCCATCTGTCCAGAGCAGCAACAGCCAGAGTGTCAGAAACAGCCACCCCACACAAGACTTTGGAAGGACTAAGACACTGAGCACATCCCAGATGGGAAGTATAAAAATGGTAGCACGAGGGAATGGAGTCTGTCCTGGCCCAGAGGTTCCCTGAGTTCCGGAAGCAATGGGAAGCACACAGGCGGGGGCCACAGGGTAGGCATTCTGGGTACTCACTAGAATGTTCCAGGACTTCCATGTGGCTGTCTCTCTGTTGTCACTCAGGTCTCAACTCGGCCGTCACCTCTCTGAGACCTTTCCTGATCCCCAATCAAGTGTGGGCTTTTTGTTAGTCATGTCATCCCATTTTCTTTGTAACATTGTCTAATAGTTTGCTGCTGTTTAAGGCCTTTCTCCAAATGCAATGTAAACTCAACAAGAGGCAAGGCTTAGTTTTCTTCACTCATGCCTGGCAACAATGCCTAATAATATTTTCAGAAGAAGAATGAATAGATGGATGGGTAGGTGGGGCCTTAAACAAGATGAGAATGGAAATAAAGCATCAGCTGACTTAGCCTTTCTCCTCTCCTCCAGGTGGAAAATATAGCCTTTTAAGAGGTCTTAATTCTAAAATTTAAAAATGTATTTATTTATTTATTTATTTTTTGGAATTATTAAAGTAATGCGCGCTCACAGCTAAAATTTAAATGTTATAGGAAGGAATGACTTAACAGACAAAAGTCCCTCCCACCTCTTAGAGAAAGTCACTGTTAATGGGGCCTTCTGCAGTCACCCTGATTAAACTGCTCTACAAGAAGCCAACCCTGGCACCACAGAGAGGAGGAGCATTCGTAACGAAACTTAAGCCACAGAGCCAGTATCTCTTCCTCTTTGTAATCTTCCCCCAGGTGCACTCGGAGCCACTGTCACTCTGTTACTTAACATTTTCACTTAGATCAGAACTGTCTTTCCCGAAAGGGAGTCTTACAGAAGAAGGGGGGGGGGGGACAGAAGGACCTGGAGGGGACATGCGTTCCACAAGCAGACCAACAAAGCCAAAAAATCTGAGAGGATCTAGACCCCTGCTCAGATGTAGCCTATAGTCAGCTCAGTCTCCATGTGGGTTTCTGAGTAAGGGGAGCAGGGGCTGTCTCTGACATGATCTCGGTTGCCTGCTCTTGGATCACTTGCCCCAGGTGGTGCAACCTTGCCAAAACACAGAAAAAGAGGATCCAGGCAGTCCTGATGAGACTTAATAGCCTAGGGTCAGATGGCGGGGGTAGGGGGAGGTCTCTCCCTTTCAGTGGAGTGGCGGGGGAGAGGGAGGGCGTGGGAGTGGGAGGAGATGAGGAAGTGGGGTTACAATCTGGACACAAAATTAATAAATTGTAGAAAATAAATTTTAAAAAGAACTATCTTTTCCAAGTTCTACAGCCTATGTGCTCATCCTTACAACAGCCATATAATAGCCCACCTAGTGGAAAACTATAATTTACTTGACTAAAATGTTCAACAAAGGTAATAATTGTTTTCCATTTCCCCTATTACAGAGAACAGCACAGAAATATCTTCCAAAAAAAAAAAAAAAAAGAAATATCTTCCATGCCTGTAACAAAAGAAATTTAGCCATTTTCTTCTCTGAGACTATTTCATAATTAAGATCCATCTATTCCTCCTCTCCCCTTCCGTTTCCCTCACATCTCCTGCTTCCTGTCTTCCCTTCCTTCCTTTCTTCCTTCTTTCCCCTTTTGTTTGTTTGAGACAGAAGCTCATTGATCCAAGGCTAGCCTCAAACTTCTGATCCTCCTGCCTCTCAGTCAAAGACAAACACCCCCACATTCAGCTGGCTTGCTTGTTTTCTCTCTTTTCTTACTTCCTGCATTCTCCCCTTCCCCATCCCAAACAGGGGAAGCCCAGGCTTACCTCTATCTACATATCTCCAAGTAGGGGGTTACAGGCGTGTGTTCCCATGCCCAGCAGGAAAACCTGTGCCACGTGATGAGTGCCCTCACATACGGGTCACTATATCCTCCGTGAATCTCTTCCTCCTCCCAATCCCCCTTCAAGTCCAGGCTCACTTATCTTACTCTAGCTGAAATCAATTCAAGAGTAACTCCTAAAGAGACCTGTCAGGAGCACACGACTTTGCAAGCATAAGTGAACTGGTAAGTAGATTCTGACCCTGAGCTAGGAGAGTCCAGATCTATCTACAGCTAAGAAATGAGTTACCTTGTTCCCACTCTCTGCATACAGCGGTATGGAATCGACTCTGGGCTCCAAGGGACCAGCTCAGGAGCTCCTTAGAAGCTATCCAATCAAGCTGGTCTCACTGCTAAGACAGCTTTAATGCCTGCTGCCTACCCTGACTCATTGGAGCTTCCTTCTTTCTGGTCTCTGATCCCACCGTTGTATTGTCTGTTCTGCACTGACATAATGGTCTTTGGGCCTCAGGGACTAGGGAAAGAATCCAATTGTCATTCTTTAAAGTATCATCAAGGAAAAGCCAGAGGCAGAGACTGGGCCAGAGGCCAGAGTAAGAACAGGCATGCTGTGCAGTCAAGGCCTTTCCCTCTGTGCAGCGCCTGCCTGGACTTAGGAGCTACTGCAAAAAGCGAGGAGACTTGTCTTGCTGAGTCCCTGTCACTCTTGTAATATCTAAGGCATGTCTGTTCTCCCCAGCTCCTTTGGGGTTGGCACAGTAACAGATTATAGTGTTAGGACAGGACTCAGATTCCAGGCAAGGAATAGCTCCCACTGCTTGGATGGAAAGCATCCAGGAGCCTCTTGAGGAGAAAGAACATGGGAAGACACCCTCTCCCAGGGTCTAGTTTTATCCTGGTCAGCCAATCTGGCTCTGGCCCAGTTTTAGAAGCCATTAAATAGCCCCAACGCTCACAGACCCTGAAACTGCTCTACACTCCCCTTCCATTCTAGAACCGCTTGCCTTGTGACAAGCGGTTGGACAGGAAGCAGGCTGAGAGCTTGAACCCTTAGACCTCTATCCACGCTGATGAGGTGCCAAGCGGGAGGGCAGACAGGGTCAGTGATCCCCTACATGTCTGGGCCATACTCACTTTTCACAGCCTTGACTGTGTGGCCGGGAACAGACATCAGGATCGCCGTGCAGCTGTGTCCCGGTTTAACCTTGTCTTGCTAGCAGACTGGACCTTGATGCCATTCTCACCAACGGGGACAAACATTCACGCCAGGGCTCAGCTAATTCTTGGCTGGTTGGAGGGCGGCTTTCATGTGTCTCTGAGAATAAAAGAGGAGGCCATCATCAGCTTAACCCAACCCCAGTTCTGAGCCACCAGGTCAACCAAACAGTAGATCCAAGGCCAAGTACTCAGCAACAGGCCACCAAGGTCCCTGTCATCTCGTCTCTTGCCACCCTCGCAGCTCAGGGCAGGTTGATCCAGACAGCAGAGGCCGGGAGGGACTTCAGGTGATCATCCTGAGAGGTTAGTTAAAACTTAGAAGCCTCTTGTACCACACACGAATGAATACATACTCTGAAAGCTAAAAGGAGACAAAATTTTAGACTCCAGCTCCATTCTCGGCTTCGGAGTGTGCCTTGCTGTGTTGTGGAGACATCTGTTTGCAACGGTAGTCAGCCTCATGTTAGGCAGGCAGTCAGCATAAGATATTCGTTTTAGCACTTAGAGCAGTGGTTCTCAGCCTTCCTAATGCTGCGACCCTTTAACACAGTCCCTCATGTGGTGACCCCCCCCCAACCATAAGATTATTTTATCGCTACTTCATAACTAATTCTGCCTCTGTTAGGAATCATAACATAAACATCTGTGTTTTCTGATGGTGTTTTTCCGGGTTGTGACCCACAGGTTGAGGACCACTGATTTAGAGAAGTAAGTACACCACACAAGTAAACAGAAGAAAACAAAAAGCATGCTAAGCATCTCCTCCTGCCACCCACGCCTCAGCTGAGCCTAGTGGGGTACACCTTTAATCCCAGCACTCGGGAGACTCAGGCGCAAGAAATTCCCCAAGTTAGATGTCAGCCACGGGTGTATAGGCAGACGATGTCCAACAAACAAACGAACAAAGCACCACAACAAAGCCCCAAACCTTACCTGCAACCCACTACTGTAATACTTATCATATTAATACCAAGAGGTCCTCTAAGAGTAAGGTTGACAACTAGCCTTAAGCTGATACAAATCTTACATCTTAAGGCCTCTTGCCGCATACATCCTTCCCAATAATATCCCCAAGACATTTTTTTTTTTCTTTTTATAGCACTGGGGATTGCACCCGGAATTTGGCATATGCTAGGCAAGGGCTTGAACACTGAGTTCTATCCCCAGATCTTTAAAAATTGTCTAATTTGAGTAAGATTCACAAAATCGTCCTGCCTCACAGTAGACAGAACTACAGGCCTGGCTAGCAAGACTGGCAGGACTTGACCACTTATTCCGTGAATAATGAAGTAAAATGAAGGTACCAGACCTTTCTTCAGAGGCCCCTTGACACGACGCGAAGGTTCCCAGACAAGAAGACAGGCAGCAGCCTGCACTGATACCCAGGTACCATCTTCCTCCCTCCCAGAGGCTCTGAGTGCAGGCAAACCCTCTCCCATTGTTACCTAAACTAACCACTCGAAAGGCAGCTGAGAGCTGACAAGAGAAAGTTTGAGGGTAGAGGCCGAAAATGCACCCTGCCAAGATTGCTTATTCCCCCCACCCCCACCCCAGGCCTCTGCACAGAGAAGAATGAAGGTCTGGACTGTGCCCATGCGGGCTGCTGAGCTCAGCCTGGCTGGTATCTCCCCAATTCCTCCATGAACAGAAACTTTGGCCCTCTCTCACCTATTCGTCTTCCTCCCATCTCCTAGTCTGCCTGAAGTGGGGCAAAGGTCACTTTGGCACCAGCCCATCACCTTGAAGAGTCTTCACGAAGCATATTCCATACTCTGCACCATGAGCGCTACCTTGACGTGTGGCCTGGAGAGTTCAATCCCACCCATGGGCACTTCCTCTTTCCTGGGGCCTAGGCAAGCCCAGCAACGACACAAGTCAAAACAGAAACAGAAAACTAAAACCACATCCTACTTGTTCCGTCTGGTACTGCAGCGGTCCACGGCTAGCTGCTGTGGGCTGAGGTCCTGTCCTAGGCGAGGACAACACTGTGGGGTGGTCAGAACGGCTCTCTCTGGGAACCAGCCTCTGGCTGGATACCTCCTGCTTTTTGGTCTGCCTTTTCCTCAGGGGTGGAGGGGAGGCCAGGGTCACAGGAGTCCCACCTTTTCCTGCAAATTCACCAGCTGTCCCCAGATCCCCCTCACACTCTAGCAGGATCCAAGACCGGTGATAGCGGCACACACCTTTAATTCCAGCACTCGGGAGGCAAGGGCAGACGTATCCCTGAGTTCAAGGCTAGCCTAGTCTACAGTGCGGAGTTCCAGGACAGCCAAGGCTACATAGAGAAAACCTGTCCTGAAAACAAACAAACAAACAAACAAACAAACAAACAAACAAAAAGAGCAGGATCCAGGGGACAGAAACTGCAAGGCTCCTTTGGGATTCACACAGCCTGAGTCAGAAGCCTGTGTGGTACATGAGTGTGTCAGCAGCCCTCGAGGCAACAATCGTGAAGGCAGAGCTGGGCCTACTCAAGTTTGTCAACTCTGATGATTCTCTTAGGACACCTGTGGAGCATGGAGGCAGCAGTGGCGACAGCTACCAAGGTTTAGAACATTAAAATATTTGGTCAAATCTACGAACCTGATCCAAACCCCAGGCCTTGGGCATCTCACTCCTTTGAAGCCCTGTACTCAGTGCCTTCAAGCTGCTTCCCTTCTGAACCTCATCCTCAAGGCCTATGTCTGCTCAGTGGGATCTATCTCAGCCTACCCTTTAGCCCATTACTCTGCACACACACTGCAGATCGTTCATCCAGTTTCTCCATTAGCACTCCTGAGGAGTTCCCTGAAGATGGAGGGAACAGGGCTATCACTCAGGGCTGTCTCCTCCAGCCCTCCTCTGCAGCCTACCTACTCCGACTCTTCCTCCTGCACTGCTCTGAGAGACCATGGCAGCCTCGGGGGCCACCCTACCGTTCTCAGTCCCATGAGACTTTAACTATGTTCCCACAAAACCTGTCATCCTGTCTGTAAATAACCTCGCTTGTGTTTATTTCCCACAAGATGAGCTCCTGGAGACCACAAGTCATCTATTGGATGGCTGCACAAACAGAAGAGAGAAATATCCAGCTAAATCCCTGGATTATGGGTCACCACGCTTGGTGTTAACCAAAGCTAGCGATTCCCAGAGTTTGTCTCTAATACCTTGGGTACCTTCCTGGAAAGGAGGTATTCCTTTCCTTTTTTCCATCTCCCAGCATCCTCACAGACTGAGGGTGTGTGGCAAGGGTCTGGACAGTAGAGAAGACCTGCCTGAAAGCATACAGGGAGGGTGAGGCTGGGAACAGAGTGTCCCAGGCACACATCCTTGGGGGACACTGCAGGCTCCTATATAGGCAGAGGTCCAGGTGGGTTCAGGTCAGAGAACAACAAAACCCATTTTCTTATTTCTACAATGTGCACAGGCAGCCAGTTCTCAGGAGGAGGATTCATTTCCCAAAGAGGTTTAACTAGCAGCTGCTGGCAGGAAAGTCCCCTTGCATAATTTTCTCTCCTCTACAACTATTTAGGGTAAGCTGGGCTTGCAGGATTCAGTCTGCTTCTCTGACTGGAATCCAAATCCTCTCACCTACTCCACCTCCATGGCCTAAGAAGGGAGGACCTAAGAAGGGAGCTAGAAATGGTATGTAACACCAACTTTTTGTCTGCAGGCCCCCTTCTGCCAGAGGTTTCCAAATCTCTCAGAAAATGGTAAAGATCAAAAGCTTGGCATTTGCCTGTACTCCCAGCACTCAGGAAGCAGAGGCAGGAGGATCAGGAGTTCAAGGCAAGCTTCAGCTCCTTATCAAGTTCTACATAAAACCTTGTCTAACAACAGCAACAAAACAGTGACAACAACAAGGCCACTAACAAAGAATTGATGGTTCACCAAAACAAACAGAACATACTCTCACAATCAATACAGAGTACTTCCCTAACCAGCTGTGGGAGGGGGGTTCCCTACACACACACACACACACACACCCTCACACAGAGAGGTGAGGGAGGGAGAGACAGACAGACAGACAGACACAGAGAGAGCAGTTTCTCAGCAGATACCAATTGCTTGTCCTAACAGTTTAACTCTGACATTCTACCCTGAGACAAAGCCAGTGGATCCCCCAAATTTGAGGGCTCCCTCTCATATGACTGCCCTGCCTCAGATGCCAGTCACAAAGAGGTTTTCACCCGTACTTCCGACCACTGGCCACAAAGCATTATTTCCAGGCTGCCTGTCTTTGCCTGATTCACTTGCTAGGATGTCTCACAGAACCCACAGAAACACATACCCTCACTGGGTGGGACAGCTGGAGGAAGAGGTCAATGGAGCACAGCAGGGGGGGGGGGCTGCAGTCCCAGGACCCACTCGGTCACCGGCCACACAGCACATGCTGACGGGATTGCCAACAGTCTTTATACTCTGAGAGGTTCATGGCTAGGGTTAGAAGGTCCACCCCTCTAATCTTTTTATCATGAGGTGTTTTGGTGATTGGCTCCTCCTGAGCCTAGCTAGGGCTCCACCCTGAGTACTTCATTAGTGAAAACCCAAGTCTAACCAAAAAGGCCCATTCCACTGCATTAGCTTATTCTATAGTGAGGCCAGCCCTAAACACTATGGATTTGGCAGGTTCCCAAACCACACAGTGACCACCCAAAGCTACAAACTCAATTGGTATCCAAGTACCCCAAGCGACAGGCAGTATGCCATCATCCCCTCAAAGTGAACAGGAAGCACAGGCACATGCCTGGGGATGGCAGCTGCCCTCCCAACCCCCACTGCACTTGGACAAGGGTCCACATGGCCCCTTGCTCTGGGCCTGGACTCTGAATGTCCCTGCCTGCTCCTCGTCTCACCCCCATCTTCTCTTTCACTTAGGACTCCTTGTCCTGTTATCCTCCTGTCCCCTCTTATTCCTCCTCACCCAGTTCATTCAAGCAACTTCTAATCTCCCTCTCTTAGCAAAACACTGATTGCCCAAGCAGTACACCTGGGAGTGTGATCCCTGACAACACCCCCCCACACACACACACATACACATACACACCACAACTTCTTTCCTTTCCCTCCCACACTGCTCACTGGCACCTGGTAGTTCCTGCTTGCTGCCTGAAAAGC